TTTAGAAGTAGACTCCAAAGAAATGCTCAATCGTTACACCGGATGTGGAAGGCAGAGCTTCCACACCCTTCGTATTGTTTCGCGCCGTGTACTTGAAACTTCGACTGATCACTTGACGTCACCTATTAATTTGTTACTTTATGAATTTCGTACACTTTAGAGAACGGTGCGCTCACGTCCACGGTGCCTGTGCAGTGAATATCGCAGACAAAGTACCACTGTTGCGCCTCCGTCATGTCCTTCTTTCGCCGCCCTTCCGTTTTCCGCCATTATCGAGGCCTAACAACCAGCGCTAATAGATTTTCTCTGTTTAAACGTTTGACTGTGAATTCATTACTATACGTATACTCCATTTCATACATCATGTGCAATGCTCTGGAATCTAACATGTTCGGCCAGCAATGTGTGTAGGCATGCGTGTCTGGAGCTTGAATTTCACCGCTGCAAACGTGGCCTCCGTGAGTGGCTCTGGCTGCGCGTTACCTGAACTGATGATGGAGGCCACGATACGAATATGAAGAAACACTAACTGATTCAGTAAAACCTATTGACCATCGTATATTTAACAATATTTGTTGATTTACAGAACCTGAAGTATCTTCATTTGTTACTGTGTTATAACACACACACACACACACACACACACACACACACACACACACACACACACACACACACACACACACACACACACACACACACACACACCACAGACACGCGCGCGCGAGCGAGAAAAACGAATTGTCAGGAAAAAAGTGCTAAAAAGGAAGGGTGGTGCCCACAATGGCATATGCACACGTGCACACGCACACACACATGCACACGCACACTTTGCGGAAGGTGAAATCATTGAACCACATCCTGGTGCGAACGCATCTATTGCAATTCTCGTTACGCGTCACAGCGTTGCACCAGATATTCGAAACGGAATAAGTTCGATAATAATGTGAAGAAAAGAAAACTGCCGTTTATAATTCCTCGAATTGCGCGTCACGGGGCCAACTTATATTGTTTCGGTACTTCAGACTCTTTGAAAGTGTGTGGCATCGAACACTAATATGTAGACTATTGCGATTGGGTGGCATCTGTATTGGGGTGAGTATTTGCTTTTGTGGTTGCTGTCCCAGTAGTTTTCGTTGACATTTGCTCTCAATAAATTTGCTCCATGTTATACATTGTCCTTAGATGCAAGCCATCATAGACAGTTGTGCCCATTTCACGTCAGAGCGTCTAAAAAAGGCGGCAACTGCGTCAGAAGACGTCGACATGAAAGGGTAAGATAGTCTTACGAAACCTAAAAGCACTTGCGCTGACGCATTCCGCTGCGCCGGCAGCTTCAACGGTGACGACGGCGACGGTGGGCTGAGGGCCTTAGGAGCTTCGAGCTTTGAATGCGCAGGCGCTTACGTCCACTTTTGCAGGTGTGCGTTTGTTATTGTGCCTGAGTTTGAGGAAGTGGGATATTCAGGGTGAACAGGAGAGTGCCTCAGACTGGCTGGCCGACGTTTCGTTAGGAGGACCTATATTTTTCAAAGGCGTCGTGTCATCTTTGGCGTGTCAGTTTTAAAGTGCCTCAGACAGGCTGGCTGACGTTTCGATAGGAGGACCTATCTTTTTTAAAGGGGCCGTGTCATTGTTGGCGTGTTAGTTTTAAAAAAACTATAACACACCAAGGATTACACGGTGCCTTTGAAAAAGATAGGTACTCCTATCGAAACGTCGGACAGCCAGTCTGAGGCCCTTCCCCTGATTGATTGATATGTGGGGTTTAACGTCCCAAAACCACCATATGATTATGAGAGACGCCGTAGTGGAGGGCTCCGGAAATTTCGACCACCTGGGGTTCTTTAACGTGCACCCAAATCTGAGCACACGGGCCTGAGGCCCTTCCCCTGTTCACCCTGATTATCCCACTTTGTTGTTTTCATCTGTCTGCTCCCATCTAAATTTTTGATTGAGGAACGTATTTTTGCTTGTTTCTCTCATATCTTAGCGAATGTTTGTCCATGTTCTTGTGGTTATCTGCGCGCTTTTTTGTACGCGTCCTTCATCTGTTCAGTACATCCCTGTCCACAAGCTCTAGCTTTCTTTTGCATAATTAAAATCTTTATCCCATTTTCTTTTATTGTTCGTTTCTCTCAACAGATTTTATGGCCACTTTACCTTGGATGCCGTCGCAAGCTGCTCATTTGGTGTTAAACTATCTCCTAATTCTCCGGAAGAGGGATCTTTCATAAGGAGTGCTAAAAATGTGTTCTTCGCCGAAGTAACGCCAGCTGTTATGCTAAGCAGTAAGTGTCATTACTTTGTTGTTATATACCACACAATATGCATTACCGCATTGCTCAAATAGTATTGTCGATTCATCATTGTTTTCATGCATGCTCGAGTTTGCCCTGCTTTTTCGGCTCAGGTACTCTATATCGGCATATTTATTTTCGTGGCTAGTTATAAGGTGCTATCTTACAGAATATTTTTTGTTTTCAAATTCCATCCGTGTTTGCTTTCAGCACTGGTTCAGAAAGCCGGACAAGCATTCCGTAAGCGTGTTTTCAACGAAAAAGCGTTCACTTTCTACAAGAACGCCACCATCGACATAATCAAGAAGCGTGAGGAGAACAATATTGTAAGTATTCTCTGTTTCTGCAACACCATAATCTTTTTCTCGCTTAAGTGCAACGCAGGTCGGTGCAGTTGGTTCAGTGCAGGGGTTGCCACGTATTACCGAACACAGAACACGGCCCAAGCCTAGCACTGTGTTGACACTCAGTGAGCAGTGTTGTGCGTTGAAGCCAAGCAACGTCGTGAAAAGAAATTTCAGACCTCAGCTCTTAAAGGGACGCTCACCAGGCTCTCCAAATACGAAAAGGGTGCGATATTTTCTCCTGATATATCCTGTCCTTCTTGCGAACTTCTGTGACGCAGACAGTAGTTTCTTCTCGTGCCTCGTCTCGTCTCCCTCGAACGCGGGTGGTGTGTAACTAAGCGGTGGAGCGCAAGTTCAAGGTTCAGTCAAGGGCGTCTCCTCTTCGTCCCATACAACGACGGCACCAAGCAATAAAGCCAAGCTTTAACTTGACACACCTTGCCTTCGCTTCTCCTTCATTCAATAAGTGAGAATAATAAAGGCGAAATAGCAATTAAGCTTTCCGAAACCAAACCTAAATTCGCAACAACAACGATATCCCAACCACTCTGCGACGCATTTACTTAAGCCTCCCTCTCCCCCCCTCCATGGGAAGATGCATGCGCCAATTTTTTTCAAAATAACTTTATTTATTTCTCTTTCTCGCCATCCTCAAGTGGTGTGAAAGCCAGAAAAGCATGACTGATTGTACTCCAACTTGGGCTAGGTGAACAACTCGTTGCATGTTAGAGTTATTGAACGCCACTGTCTGATTAGAGGAAAACGGAACGCGCGTTTTGTCTTCCCTGTTGGCAGGTCGCGATATTTCGCGTGAGAAGCATAAGGGCCAAACCTCATAAGCGCGAAAATGCACGCGACAGCGACAAGCGACGCGACGTAGATCGGCTTCGCGCGATCAGTCGCTAGCGCAGGCAAACCTCATTCACGCGACGGCTTCGGCGAGCGAATTCCACTGTTGCTGCATGAGGCCGTCTACTCGCACCAAGGAAAACCGCGTAGCGAGCGGTTATGCAATTTAAAAATAAGATATTGTTGTGTAATGAAACGGAAAGTGTTTAATATTGCCTTGCAGCACTTTTTTTATATGCACATGCGTAATAAACATGTGTTATTTCTTGTTGCGCATACGTGACTCGGGCAGGGTCACGGGCACCTATGTAGTCTGTATTTTCCGGTATTTCGCTATTGGCTGCTTGAGCCCAGCACTTCCGAGCGATGAGCGACGGTTTGCAAATCTGGAGAACCGAGCGATCGCGCGAAAACGAGCACGTGACACGTCGCGCGAACGCCCTGTTTCGTCGCTCATAGCGTCGCTCGTCGCTGTCGCGTGCATTTTCGCGCTTATGAGGTTTGGCCCTCAGTCGGGAAAGTGGAGTTACATCCAAGGCGTGGTATGATCCAGGCGAAACAGGCGCATTGCTCTATTTTCTTCTGATATATCTTGTCCTTCTTGCGAACTTTTGTGACGCAGACAGTAGTTCCCATGACGTCTACAGCGTACATGCTGTCGATTGGTTCATATACGCGCAATATCACGTATGATTTGTCTCCTGCACTGCTTTGCCATGCAGCCACCCATCATTTTTTTGTCTCTCATGAATACCTTGTACAATCAACCGATTGAACTTCATTTTGTGCGTTTATACAACTGTACAAGCGGCGATAACAGCATGTAGCCGAAAAACGCGATACCCTTATAGATGGTTTCAAAATCACAAGCTTTGTACCCAAAAAAAAGTTCCGGTCGCCTCATTCACCAGCTTCTATTGTCAGCACGTTTTCAAGTTTTTTTTTCTAGGGCAAGGAAAGCCTCTTTTTGATTTTGAGATAAAAGGAACGTGCACAAAGCTCAAGGGAATCTCTTATAGTTTTTATTTAGCTCAAAAACATTCGTTTGAATATATTTTGCCAAATAAGGGAAGGAAAATGTAGAAAATGAGCGGGATATTTTCTAAAGCTCTTCTTGCTCACCGATGTCATTAAGGCACATTGGCAGATGAAAGCAGATGTCATTAACGGCCTCTGTTTGTAAACAGTGAAAAGGTCTATAGGATCTAGTGCTTGGTGCCGACATTGTTCACGTGCTTTTATAATCAAGGGGCGAGGAGGATGCATCGCGTGTATAAACGAGAGGAGAAAACCCCACGCTGGGGCGGGTACGTGTGGTCAGGCCTTTAGGCGCCAGTTCACGTGTTGAACGCGTCGCCGTTGGCGTCGGTAAAACCAAGCGACCAACATGAAAGAATAAGATGAGAGAAAAAAAAAACTATTGAGGATTGAATGGGGTTTGAACCCGGGCCCTGTACCTGGCAGACGAGTTGTCTGTAACAAGTATGACATTTTGACCTCCAAGGTGGTGCCGGTGAGAGACTTCTTCTGTGCGTTGCTGAACAATAAAAAATAGTGCTCAATGTACATGTCAATGGCTGCTAATGGGGAATGAGAGACAGGAGCATTCGTCTTTTAGTTAACGCGCCGGCTGCGATCACCATTAGCAGCCATTGGCATGTACATTGAGCACTATCTGACAAGAAAGGGTTGCTACGTTATACTCGCTGGGTGTAACCTCCTTGGCTTTAGAAAGGTTTAGCAAGCGTCGAGCCGCAGTGCCATGAATACAATGAACTTGTATATACCATGAATGAACTCGAGGTGGTTAAAAATGGGAAGTAGATACGAAGCGCAAGCCGTAAGAAAGTAAAAGCCGGAATTCTCCGCCTCTCATTTCCCATTAGCAGCCATTGGCATGTACATTGAGCACTATCTGACTGAAAAAGTTTGCTACGTCATACTCGCTGGGCGTAACCTCCTTGGTTTTCGAAAGGTTTAGCGAGCGTTCGGCCGCAGTGCCATGAATACAGTGAACTAGTATATACCATGAACTCGAGGTGGTTAAAGGTGGGAAGTGGACCCGAAGCGCAATCCGTGAGAAAGTGTGCGTGTGCCACCTCTCGTTTAGTCCTTGGAATGTCCGCTGGATGGCGGTGCTTCTATATGGGGAATATATGATGAAAAGATGCGAGATGGTGGTACTTGGAGAGTTGAATACATGGACGAACGGACACACAGACAGATGCATGGATGGACGCATGAACGGACGCAGGGGCGGCTGTATGGACGAACGCAGGAACGAACGCACGAACAGACGCACGCACGGACGGGCTGATGGACGCATGGACGGTCACACTGACGGACGCATGGACGGACGGAAGCAAGAACGATTGGACGGATGAATTCTTCGCCCCACTCTCCATCATTCACTCCGTGGATATGCTGCCATTTTTTTTTCTTTTTAGATATCCCAAGCCTTTGACCTCGCTTCCTTCCTCCGTCACGCTCACTGACCCCTCTGTTATAGCTTGTGCGCATGCAGGGCTGGCACGTGCACTGCCGCTGACTTCGCTTGTCAGGGCTGTCAATGTTTTCGCTCGATTCACGACCAATATGTTACACTGTTTCGACCGTGGAAAGCCGTGGTCGTAGTACAACACTTGAAACACATTCGGAGTTGTCCCAGTGCGAAGCTGCGCTTAGAATTCATATTGGACAGTATTGTAATCGTTGGTGAATTTTTTTCGTGTTCTTATCTTGTAAAGAGGCCCTGCAGCGCTTTCTCAGGCAACCATCATATGATTTCACTAAAAAAATTATTTACTCACCATTCGACTGCTGCAAAAGTTTTTCGAATCTTCAAGCACGAGCGCAGTTACAGAGATTTGTCGCACGCTGTGATTCCTTGCTCTCTTTCGTCATCCCGAAGAATACATTGGAAGATAAGCATGGAAATATTGGCACGGGGGAAAGATGTTACGCCAGGCGCTTGTTATGATGATGATGATTATGGTCACTTTGTTTTCATACCTAAACTGTTTCTGGGCAAGTGGATGGGGTCCTTAGTCCGGGGCTCCATTAGCCTGGGCGGTTCGTTGGGCTTGGCTGAGCAAAGCCAGCAGGCTTTCCCTATCATTGCTAGCAAACCAGGTTTATCACTGCCTCGCTCGCTATGTTCCGCATATGAATGGCTGATATACATCTTGTCATCATAGCGGCAGGGACGAAACAACTGGGCATGTTCTGTGCGTCGAATTTCCACAGTACTGCTCGCAGAGAAGATCGCTCTGAAATACACTCGATCAACAAGGGGACCAGATTTTCGGAAGACAGAGTCCTGCGCCACAAACAGGACTTTACGTTACAGAGAGAGGCGGTGCAGGCGCTTCTGCGCTTTCTGAGTTCAAGCAGTCTCTCCAAACGACTCTGATCGTAGCGCCCTGCATGGGTGTGCATGTGCATTCTTTTTTAAATGCGGAGAATTTCTGAGTAGCACGATTTCGCGCTTCGGCGTCGGTGCCGTCCAACCCTCCACTGCGCATGCTGGGCTCGTCTCGTGCATCGTCTAGTCTGCCTCGAACTCAAGCGGTGTGTATATAAGCGGTGGAGTGCGCGTTCGGGATTCAGTCAAGGGCGTCTCCTCTTCGTCCAATACCACGACGGCACCAAGCAATAAAGCCAAGCTTTAGCTTTACACACCTTGCCTTCGTTTCTCCTTCATTTAATAAGTTAGAATAATAAAGGCGAAATAGCAATTAAGCTTTTCGAAACCACGTTTAATTACGCAACATTCACTCGATACCCCAACCACTCTGCGACGCATTTACTTAACCCTCCCTCCCCCCTTCGTGGGAAGATGCAGGTGCCAATTTTTTTCTAAATAACTTCATTTATTTCTCTTACTCTCCATCCTCAAGAGGTATGAAAGCCAGAAAAGCATGACTGATTGTACTCCAACTTGGGATAAGATGACCAACTCGCGGCGCGTTAGAGTTATTGAACGCCACTGCCTGATTAGTGGGAAACGGAACGCGCGTTTTGTCTTCCCTGTTGGCAGGTCGCGATATTTCGCGTGGGGAGCATAAGTCGGGAAAGTGGAGTTACATCCAGGCCATGGTATGATTCAGGCGAGACAGGTGCGTTGCTCTATGCGTAGCAGAACTATTTTAGGCAGGGATGGATGCTATGAGCCACGCCGACGATTTGGGTTAGGTCGGCACCTAGCAGTGTGTTAAATCGTCGTGAGAAACGCACCCAATAAGACGGATTTGTCGTAAGCCAAAAGTGACATAGTTAAAGCCTGATTTTGACGCGGTGTCCCAAAGAACATTAGTAGCCGCTTCTATTTAACTTTTGTTTCATGTCACTGTCAACCGTCAGCGGCATGAAGACTTTTTGCAAATGATGATGAATGCCAAGGAAGTGGCAGAACAAACTACTATTTCTGGAGAAATGGTCTCAGAGGACCCAGGCATCGAAGATCCTCAGCAAAAACCTCAGGGCATTAAAAGTGAGTCTACATTGACATTTTTCTTAGAACTGAACGTAATTAAATATATTAATCTCAGTAACAAGTTGGGAGTTAAGTGGCTCGGAGCCAGAAATGCATTTAATCACCTGAATGTTTGTCGCAAGCTCTGTCGTTTAATGTGCATGCTAACAGACGCATTTATTGCCCCGGTGCACACAAGTTCCTCCTAGAAAACATTGATTACAAAGACTGTGCACTGTTTGCAACTTGAAGCCTTTACTTTACCGCCTACTTCTAATTGTCCTAAAGATTTGTTTCTGGGCATAAGATTATTTATGGCATGTTTACCCAAAGGTTACAGGAGTTCTTGATTGATTGATTGGTATGTGGGGTTTAACATCCCAAAATCATATGTACATGAGAGACGCAGTAGTGTAGGGCTCCGGAAATTTCGACCACCTGCGGTTCTTTAACGTGCAACCAAATCTGAGCACATGGGCCCACAACATTTCCGCCTCCATCAGAAATGCAGCCGCCGCAGCCGGGATTCAATCCCACGACTTGCGGGTCAGCAGCCGAGTACCTTAGCCACTGGAACACCGCGGCGGGGCAACGGGAGTTAATTATTTCAGATGTTTGCTGCCTTAAGTAAACCATCGCGTAACAATCGAATACCAAAATAATTCCTTCTTCCTGGGCGCAATGAAATGTCTGCCCTCGCGTTCCATTTGTGGTCATGTACCATTCGAGTAAATACGGTACTCATGAATACGTTGCAAGCATCAAAGAAGGCTTTCGTCAATAGGGGTAACAACGACCACACCAATGTCATTATCCCCGCGAGATAAGTCAGAGGAAAGGATTGCAACCTTATCAAAACGGCATCTTCAAGTAAACATTGTTTATCTGATAGCATATCCTGTGGAAAATAATATTGCATTTGTTTGTTAGTTTGTTTGTTAATATTGTTAACCCCAAGTGTTTTGTTTTTTATAAGAGTGGGAAACACGATTTTACCAAACAGCATACAACCTTATGCAGAAATTCGAGCAAAAAATAAATAAAACAAAATCAGCATGACATACTTTAGAAAATAGAGACAGCGAACGCCGGCATTTACCCTTAAATTATGCGCAAAAATAAAACACGGGCATGAACACTTACATTCGAGAAAGGAAAGTACACACTTAGCTCTAATCGGCTGTTGCGCGATCCAGCTGACCAAAGTAAGTGTAGTTTAACTTAAGCTTGACGCCTTTTCTTCAAGGCCTGTCCGAAGATGAGGCATTGGCGCAGTGCGTCCTATTCTTCCTTGCTGGCCAGGACACGGCCTCTACCACGACGTCCTTTGCCTCGTACTTGCTAGCAGTCAACCCGCAGGCACAGGAGAAACTACAAGCCGAAGTCGACGAGTGCTTCAGGAAACACGTGAGTCAGTTCTGTGATTTCGTATATTCTCACTACTTCTTAGAAATTTATATGGGACATCCTATATAGGAGCATCAATGAACGTCACAAGTACACGGACATAAAACCTTTTTTTTATTTACACAATCATTCACGTGGTCGCTCGTGGCGACTCGTGGAGGCTTTTCCCGTGACGTACGCCTGCGCGATCGGCCTCCTTCCTTGTCTTGGGCTTCGACCAGCCATTTTGTGACGACATTGCAGATGTCCTGCATTATTGCAGCAACATTACCGTGAACGAGACAGCCGTAAAATACAAAAAAATCCATAAATACAAGAAAAGTCAAGACGATACCAGCCAACAAGGCTTTGGAGCACCGCTCCAAAATTTCTTAGAAAAGACGTTGACATGCTTCCGAGCTAATAAGTGTGAAAGAAAGTGAATACTAATCGTAGAGGCTCGTTTCTTTGCTGAAACAATTTAAAGATCAGACAACCCCGCCAAGCAAAACATAGGTGAGACTATTCGTTTTTTTTTTTTCGAAACAGTGGTGTAAATATTATCTCAGCAGAAAGGAGCTAAATCGGTCGAAAACTTGGCATTTCCATCCTTGGGATGACAACCAACTGGTCTTGGAAATACATGTCTGCATGATTCTCTACACGCTATAAGCAACGGAACTTTTAGTTCAGTAACACAGCAGATGCAGAAATATTTTCAGCCACAAACCTTGGAAGCAGATTTATAACATACAAAAAAGTGGTCACTCATTCAAAAGTAGTGTCCACATTTTGCTTTGCGTGTACTAGTACAAGTTTTGCAAACCATAGCACGTTATATCTATAGGTCGAATAGCGGAGCAATGTACTCATAACTGCGACGCAAATACTGTGTTTCTCTTTAGAGCACTTCACGAGGTTAGTGTCAGGGTGTCAGTAATCAAACTACGGTTCTGTATTCAGTAAGAGTGTTATACATCCAAGCTTGCACTTCTCATTAGCAGCAAAATGAACGAAAGCATATCCGGAATATTGTACCCTTTCCTGTTAACGAGCATTTTTGCTACATGCCATTCTTTGAGCCTTACACCTCCTTACATGATCGCGTCACGGGAGTGCATGTAAAGGCAGGCGGGAATGTCATATGGAGTGCTTATTTGTGGGTCACGGATGGTTAGCACCATTGAAAAAACACGCCATTGTGCTTTCTGTGTCATCTTAATGTTCCCTTTACGAAGAATCAGGGCATACATACTTACCGTATTAGTAACTACGTTGTTCAGAAGCTTGCTGCTGTCTTCTGTCAAGTCAGCCGTCAAAGTGGTTGCAGCCACCACTGCTATTCCACTTATTCGTATCTTCATCTAGACCACAGTCGCGTATTTTAGAATGCGAAAAAAAAATATGTTTATGGTTGTGGAACAATTATACTATCTTCTCTTGGTACACCTCCTTCAAATTTACGTGGAAAAATAAATTTTCAGCTAGCATATTTCACACTAGACTGGCTCCATGTAAATGCACATACACTGCAATTTACGCCGAAATTAAAGTTATGCCATGGTCCATATTCCGAAAAAAAAAAGAAATGCAGCAGAGATGTGCGTTTGTGCTTACACGCAGGGAAAATTGACAATCGTGATCGCGCTTGCTTGCGTATATTACCGACCTAAAAAAGAGGTCGGCCCACGCTCGTATTCCGTCCAAGTCCGAGTGGCGTTGGCAGATGGTAAACCTACGACGCCGGACCAAGAAGGCTGGCAGACCTACTGCCGACCTGGTCATTGGCCAGTTACGGGCCAATCACTTTTTCGGGTGTGTCGCCAACTAAACTGGCCGCCGCCTGGTTGCCGACCCTTAGCCAACTGTCGGCCACTGGCCATGTCCTCTTCATAAGTTGAGCGAACCATGTAGTCACTGCGAGCTCCATCATCGGCCGCAAACTCTCGCTGCAGCCCAGCAACGGCATAGGCACGAGACCGCTCATTCTGAATGTTGGAAATTTCGTCAGATTATTGTCGAACCAAAAGCGGTCACAAACTTTGGAGCTGTCCGCGGAAGCTTCGGTCGAGAAAATCACGCCTAAATCGTACGTCGGCACCACCAACCTCAAGTATCGACCCCTTTCAGCGTTTAGCAGTCGCGATCTCGCTGCCTCCGGGTTCGCTTGTTTGCGCTGCCGTGCCGCAGCTGCAGCTTCGCGAGCACTCAACTCTCGGTCAGCTTGCTAGCGCTGCCGTTTCGCAACACTCGATCCGCTCTTATGCGTTGCTGTGGTGCAGCCTCTCCGTGAGCCCTCAGCTGCGCATGCAGTTTTGCCGCCTTGTCTTAACTGTCTTCGCTGTCGAAGAGCTAGAAATCGCGTGGTGGGAGCGAGCGACCCGCAGATCCCCTAGCGGTCTCCACTCAAACCCAAAGCATACGCCCGGAGCGAGTGCTAAAAGGAAGCAGTTGGCTAGTTAGTCCTAATTCACTCTGGGGTTGTGGCTGCGATAGAAAGTATAAATTATCTCCACCTTGCTTTCAACCTCTCAGAAAGACTCTGTAAAGTTTTTCACACCTTCTTTATGGCGAATGTTTGGTAAACGGGAAATCACTTAATCACGACATTTTGGGATTTACAAGACCAGATTCATCATATCATCATACAAACATTCCATGAGCACTACTATTATTTTGAGTGATTTCAAGAAACAGCTTTTTTTTCAGATTGAACATGTGTTTTCACCTGGTATAACTGCCTTATAGATACGTTTTTTCCTGAACAAATAAATCAGTTACTGCTATAGCGCGTAGTCCTGTGTCCTCACTTTCTTCTATGCTATGTGTACCGCACCACATCTCAGTTATCATGAACCAATGCCAACTTGTCCTACTGTTCGTTTCACTGAAACAGTGTCGATTTTATACTTTGAATCAACACAGAATACTTTCTCATATCCGTGAACTTGCGCTGAAGCTTAGTCAGCAATTTTCGGCTCCAGCAGGGCACTAATTTCAAAGTGACCCTTAATTGGTCTCTGTCAGTACTACAGTGGCCTCTTGCGCTGCAAATGCGACAAAAAAATGGTGGCCTGTGATTTTCCAAATGCCATTCCGGCACCTTAGAGAGCTGAAGGTGCTATCGTAGCAACTTCATCTACTTTGTTTTAGTATGCTGCTAGCTTTCATATTTAATTTTTTGCAGCTTTTGATAACTGGGTGATGACTTCTTCAATACATCAGCAATGTTTAGTACCTATCAACCTACGACAACAGAGCGCAAACACATGCAACATCACAATCACCGCGTACCGAACAATCCCCTCGCTGGCAGTTTCGCACTTTTAAACGCATCGTCTCTACTATACCTTGCAGCCTTCCAATTCTTTGAGAGTAACGATGTCTCCGTTCCGTCTCACAGGGAAGTTCACCATCTTATGATATCGTCTCAAAACTGCCGTACTTGGACTGCGTCGTGAACGAAACACTGCGAATGATGACACCCGGTACAAGGTAACAAACACTGCAGAGCTATCACATTTCCTGTCGCGCAAGCAGCTTGGTATGTTATGCATGATCATGCGGCCTACTTGTCGAATTTGCCGAAAACCAGGAGAACCGGAAAAAATGTTGAAGTAAAACTGTCTTGCTTCTTACTCAGTATGTTGCATTGGGAAACATAAAGTTTGCAACTTTTTTCACGCGACAGCGTTAGAGAATACGCGTCGTAGAATACGCGTCGTGAGCGAAAAATGCTAATGAAAACAAAGAATAAACATCTGGATATGAGCCGGTACTTTAACCCAGGTATTTCGCGTGGCAGACAAGCCATCTACGGAGCCCCGCCAGTGCTTACAACTGCTGGGAAAAAACTCGTACAGTCGTCATGTCGGACGAGGAGTCACGCATACTTTCAATACTACGTGACATCAGCATAAAATGGCGCCAGACGTCACACTACGTTAACTGCATGACGTGGTTTTTTAAAAGCTATGAACCCATTACAGAGGTCTGAGTTAGTATACACCATGGCCACTATCATATTCACCACCAGCTTCATCATCAGCTACGACATTAACAAAGTAATAATAATGCCAGGGCTTTTACGTGCCTAATCAGGGATGCAATTATAAAGCATGCCATGGTGGAGCTCACCGGAAATTACGACATTCATGTTATCCTTCACGCGCACATCGCAATGTCCAAGTGGGCAGCCACATAGGTGTGCGCGTTGGATCAAAGACTTGCAACGGTACTCCGCAAATGTAATGGTGGTGGGCGCCTTGGAAGAGTTTGCAGCGAAGTCACGCACACACACTATAAGCATGACAAGCAAAAGGAGGGTGATGCGAACGGGGCCTGATAGCGTTATTACTTTGCACTCTCAAAAGTGTATCTTAAGCGGAAGTTTCTTTTTATTCTGATAGCAGAGATTGGTACGCCCTTTGTCTGTACCTATACTGAGACCAACTGTACCGAGACCGTTACTGCTTAACACACCTACATATACAATTCATGTGCGTTTGGTTACCACAATATTTCTACTTGAGTTATAATCGTGTTCCAGCTTCATATGCAGAATTTCACGCCACATTCATCACTTCACATGCTCGCCTCATCAACGTTTTTCGCAATCCCACCGACAGGCTCGAGAGGGTGTTTCAGGAGGATTACATGCTCGGCGAAACCGGCATCAAGTTATCCGAGGACTGCACTGTAGTAGTACCAGTCTACTCACTTCATCACGACCCGGAGTTCTTCCCAGAGCCGGATGTTTTCAACCCTGACAGGCAAGCATGTAGAAGTCATCGCCACTCCCTCACCCATTGGCAATGCATGCGCAGAAGCTACCATAAATGGCATTCGCGGTCAAACTTGTGTATCGAAATAATATTTTTTGGATCGTATGAAGAAAAAAGGCTTATGTTGCCTAAAATATATCTTTCTCGCGTCGTTCTACACTGTGTTACTGGTGGCTATTACAAACGAGGACCTGTTTCATCCATTATGTTCGTGCTTGCCCTTACACAAGCTCTTTTGAGTGTGACCCAATGCGTTTGATGTGGATGAATAACGGAGACCAGTTTCTTGCACATATTATACTGTTCCTTGGGATACAATATAATACAGCGTATTTGTTAAGTGTAGAACTTTGAATCTGCTCCTACAAAGAACCTATTAGTTAAAGCTATAAAAAACAAAAGACAGGACAAAGTGGCACTTTTAATTATCAGTGTTGCGAATGCTGATATTCGAGTATAATTTATTTGCTTTTTTTGTTTTGTTTTGCTACGACCGTTCACGATCAGATTCAGCGAGGAGAATATTAACTCCATCCGTCCTTACACCTTCTTGCCGTTTGGCGCTGGACCCCGAAACTGCATTGGATCGAGGTTTGCGCATCAGCTTGTGAAGACCTGTCTTCTACACGCCGTTCACAGCGTGCGCTTCGTGAAGTGCCCCAAAACAAAGGTGAGACGTCTCTGGGCTTTACGATCTGCACGATTAGATCACAACTTTTTGAGCGAAGTGCATACACGTTTCGACGCAGGCATGTACGATAGTTATAGCGCGAGAACAAAACGACGACACCGAGACAAGAAGGACACGAAAGACACGAACGACACGAGACCTTCTTGTCTCGGTGTCGTCGTTTTTTTCTCGCGCTATAACTATCGTCATGCCATACCAACTAGCCCAAGCTGCCACACTTGCTAGCATGTAGTCACAAAGAGACTCGGTTGATTGACTGTAACTTCGATATAATGCTGTAATTTAGAAGTTGGTGTAGTCACATAAGTTGTCGCTAATTTTAGTGCTTAATCTTAAAGCCACTTCTCGGCTTTAGACGCGATGTCGTATTTCACTCTGTTTTGTTTGTTCTTGTTGTTCTTATTTTTTTGTTTTCTTGAAAATCTGGATGGTGTTAAGGAGATGTGAGCGACTATTTTGATTTCGTCATTGCTTTCGGAAGACGTATGAATCCAGAAAAACATTGAAGTTAACTGCAACAGGTTCTTCCAGTGGAAAATTCACTAGAAACTTTCAACACGGTCTAGAGAATTAGGAAGGAATCGTATAACACGTAGAAAATTTACTTTACACATTGTAGCTTACAGGTTTCATAACGGTACTCTGGTACAGCCTAATGGTTTTAGCATGGCATTGTAAAATGCGAATTGAAGAAGTGTTTTTTTGCTACCCTTTCTCATGCACTCGATCTTTACAGCGTTGATATAGCAGGCCTACTAACTAAATAGTATTTTTCTTCTAAGGCAAGACATGAGTTAAGGCTGTCAGGTCGTGCGCGCGCTCCAAGATCGTCGGTTACATTAACACTAATATGACTAGATAATTTTTCGGTGTTCCTATCAATTGTGGATAAGTTGTGTTTCAATGTGAGGTTTGACTCTCCGCTTACAGGTTCGTTTGACCTGAATATATGCGCCGCACTCTAACGGAAATAGACTTGTAGCTAGTTTAATGCTCTATTCCCAGCTTATGATCTCAGTATTCTTTTTTTTTCTTCAAAATCCTGACCATTCATTTGCGTTTTGTACGGTTGTTCGTTCATGCTACATATATATACTGTATGTTTGAGCCCCGAAAAAGTTGCCCCCAATAGAGTAATCAGTCTGACTGCAAACGATCTTATTATTCATAAAGCACCATTGATAACATCAAACAGGGAAGCGGCTAACAGGACTTCGCATTTATCGTATAAACATGTTTGAGTAAACGACCTTGAGGCAATTATTCAATGTCTTTGAACATGGGGCATTGCTGGAGCCAATGTTTTTTACCACTGGTCTTGTCTTCGTTAAGGCAGCAAGCTGGCAGTTCAAGGCAGTGGCTGGCTTGTAGAAGATCAGACCACTTGTCTAACTATTTGCTGTAGCGTCATGTCGCCTTCAAGGATCTTTTTTTTACGTCTTCATCCCATCATCTGCTTAACGTTTTACTAGTTTGGATTTAAAGCATTTACGTTCGACATGATGAGTGTTACGGTGGCTATGCAGGTTCCCCTCGAGTACCGACCAGGATTTGGCCTGTTGCATCCCAAGGACTTGGTCATAGGCGTCAGAGAGAGGAGCAGCTAGCCTGCATCGCTTACCATGCTGGAAGGGAACATGAAGAGGCGCACGCAACTCTCATTAGGCGCCGCATACTTGTCACTTAAGCGGAACCTACGGAACGAACCTCCCTTGCCTGTGCTGGTGATGGTTATCTGGTAATATATAAGAATTCCACTCTGTCGTCATCATCGTCTGTCTGACTACGCCCATTGCAAGGCGAAGGCCTACCTCATTAAGAGGGCACTAGTCATCGACTGAAACCGTCGAAGTAACTCAATTAGCTTCTCATGAAAGCTTGCGTTTCCTACAGTTCTCTCCCTAGCGCTGGCTGAAGGGACGGTCAGAGCTTTGGTTTTCGAGATGATATTGCAAGGCTTAGTAGTTGATATTGCGCGTCAAGCTAGAGGACCGGTTAGCGTTACACTCAACAGTTCGAATATTTTGAGAATTTGCCGTCCTGAAAATGCAGAAGCTGATGGAAACTCCCAAGCCAGCCACCATACAGGCGACTGTTTAGGCAAGTGGCAGTCAAACTGCGTTGAAAGTGGGACATGCAGGAAACGCATTGCTTGTTTTTCTTCGCCTTTTAGTGTGTCTCACACCCACTTCGAGAGATCGGCCGAAGATTGAGTGGCCGTAGAAAATGCTGTGGAACTTTAGAATGACGGAGTTATAGAATAAAAAACATTACAAATTTTACATGAAATTTAGGTGCTGTGTCAAGTGTATAAAAGAGCAATGCAATTTTTATTAGTAATTGACAATAAGAAGAATCAAAAACATATTTTGAAAAATTGTACATGTGTTGACACAGAAATATAATAATATAGATTAGCAAGGTAATTGATTAGTTTTGTTGATATAATTCTGCTCAGCCATGCACAAGCCTTCGCATTAAAGTACCCAGAAATAGTGGCTCCAAAGGACAAATTTTGGGCACAAATAAACTCATTCTACTAACACGTAAAGGTATTTCTAACTTGGTTTTTTGAGCTGTAGTAAATTGCCCTGCAAGTTGAAAAATAATTTATTGATAGTTTCTAGCTGACCACGATATGCGTACGATGGATTTCATATTCGGCACCAGACAGCGCAGCCTCGTCATTGACACTTCCACTTTATGGGCTTGTCGAAATGACGTACGCCAGGGAGATAAATGCCGACATTTGGTAGAATTAGTCAGTGCTGTGTCCAAAGGACTTCTATAACGTTGCGAAATCGCGCAGCCGTCACATAAGCGGATTGGGCAAGGTACGGTAAAAATCGGTTCACTCATTGATGACTTCGGTGAAGGATATCGGCCATGTCGTTTACCAACAATCCGTTATGTACGGGCGCCTTAAACTAATTGAAATATTTCCAAATGCATGAGGACCAGCCCCCGAAACACTTTTATTACGTGCAAGTCAGCACCAGCAGAAAGTACAGTGCAGTTAGAAAATCTTATTACAGCGGCAGATGTACTTGCTGTGTTCTTTTTACTTGTATGGGTCGAGCACCACTGCACGAACTTCAGTCACAAAAACGTGGCAGAAGTTCAGACAGTGGCAGGGATTAAGGACAATTCAAATTCGGGCTTAATATACCAACACCTGGCTTTTTGTTACATTGTGTTGCATCTCTGCCAATATAGGTGTTCTTGTATAATAAATGATCTAGAGTATGATGTAGCAGTAATTTTGCCTTACTAGCAAAAATGTTTACAACATAACCACGAATCCGGTTATTAGGAAAAGTATCGTGAAATTAGGCACCTACAAGGTAAGAATTATTACTAGTCTGGGTTATATCGTCAATACGTACATTCAGCACGTCTAGTAAATGTTGTACAATTATAATTTACGTGGTGTGAAATAGCGGACGTCTTGGGCAAAAAGCATAATTCCGGAGTACAAATACAGGCTCTTTCCGAGCGACTCGTGAATTACAAAAAAAAATTGCCAGCTTCCTCCCTTGAGGTCTGGGGTCACGCCTGTCTTGAACCGACTACCGTATTCATGCAGAAGTGATTAAGTGAGCAGTAACGGTGGTGGCAAGCTCTTGCCCACCACCTTTCGAACCACTTACAAGGTGAATGCAACGACCTCGTTGTGCCGTTAATAAAATGCTTTCTATATATCCTAAGAACGTCTGAACGGTGAAAACATGAAACCCGAAGGAACGAGAAATAACCCTTCATTCTAGATATATAGCGCTTCGTCACGGCGTCTTTTTCATAAAGTCACATTTGCAGCGTTGTTTCATTACCACTGGCAGTGTTGCCAAACAAATTTTGGAAACTGTGCCCTACGTCGAGGTCGAAATTTACTCTGCCCTACACAATCTTTATTATCCTGCATTTTACCCTGTGCTTAAAATTGCGCAGCTTAATAATAATAATATTTTACAAACATAGTCGATTGACTTGATTGATATGTTGGGTTTAACGTCTCAAAACCATCATATGATTATGACAGACGATGTAGTGGAAGACTCCGGAAATTTTGACCACCTGGGGTTTGTTAACGTGCACCCAAATCTGAGCACACGGGCCTACAACATTTCCGCCTTCATCGGAAATGCAGCCGCCGCAGCCGGGATTCGATCCCGCGACCTGCGGATCAGCAGCCGAGTACCTTAGCCAATAGATCAACGCGGCGGGGCAGTACAAACATGGTTGACTGCAGGAAATGCAGATATGTGATGGCGCTGAAGTCGGTTAGGACTTTAGCGGTTTGAAATTTGTTTCGAAGATATAGACTAACGAACATGAACGAGCACTGACGCACAGTTGGTATCGGAAAAAAAAAAGAATTGGGAGACTCAATAACGACTGGCACTGCAAGCGACGTAGCAACAAAGAGCGTTAAGCGAGAAGTTGGAAATGTAGAAAGGATTAATTTGGTAGCAGCGTGGGAAAAAAGGACAAGTGGCGATCGATGGTGACCGAACAGTATAAATTACCCTATTTCTAATCGTATTACAGTGACGTCTTACTTGTAGGAACTTCCGTTAAATGAATCAGTCAGAATAACAAACTTTTAGCAAATTATCGGTAGTTAATGTTTTTGTGCATACTATTCAAAAACCTTTTAGTTAACCGAATTTCTTGATATTTAATGCTTTTTTCCCTTCAACGGACTTGATTCACGGACCCGGGCTCATTAATAAAATTTCTTCAACAAAGTCTTGCGTTCCACTGTACAGGCATAGCCAATCCGTGGCGCCCCCTAATTGCCTACTTATCAGCGACTGTGCAACGTAGCATGTGCATGCAGCGCTGCTAAGGCAAAACGGTCGTGCAAGCAAAAAAAAAAAAAATACGAGCCGCGTGCATGTCAGCTATTTGTTTTAGGAGCGAAGCTCCTTAAGGCGTGGGCTGTGCGTCCCCTGTATGTAGCCACCTCTCGTTCAGTTCTTGCAGTGTTCACTAGATGGCGGTACTTGTAGCTGACGGCATTAAGTATTACGCTAGCCACCGCCCGATCTAAAGGGTACAGCCATATCCATCCGTCCGTCCGTCCGTCCATCCGTCCGTCCGTCCGTCCGTCCATCCATCCATCCATCCATCCATCCATCCATCCGTCCGTCCATCCGTCCGTCCGTCCGTCCATCCGTCCGTCCGTCCGTCCATCCGTCCGTCCGTCCGTCCATCCATCCATCCATCCATCCGTCCGTCCATCCGTCCGTCCATCCATCCATCCATCCATCCATCCATCCGTCCATCCGTCCGTCCGTCCGTCCGTCCGTCCGTCCATCCATCCATCCAAAAGATGCAAGATGTTATAAACTAGACGGCGGTACGTGTAGTTGATTATGAAAGATGCGAGGTGTTATAAAATAGGAATGATGCCACATATGGCGCGTGTCATCGTTCGATATAGTGCGGCGACGTACGCTAGGGGGAGCGTTGCAATAAAATCGAGTGGGCAAAATGTACGGAGGATTCATGGTTTACCAGGTTTACCTCCGGAGCTTCGCCCACTCATCATCATTCACTACGTGGATATGCTGTGATTTCTTTTCACTGTCTCATCACACTTGTTCGGCCAACTTCGTTTCGTGTAACGACAGCACTGTTTCAACTTTGGTATGAGTTGGACAAAACGGAGGAGGTCTTCTCTATCAGACAAGCTTAAGAACCTTCAGCGTCTGTACAGCAGCCAGAGGCAAGTGGACCTTGCGAAGAATTACAGAATGCCCCTGTAGACGTTGTCAACGATAATGAAACGAATATCTAATCTCGCTCAATAGACCATTTTCATAATTCTCCAGCGTGCTTCTTTGCGCTGCATATTTGCCCAAGTAATGGCGGCACCTCTCATGGTTCGAGCGGAGTCGTGGTGTTTGTGTAACGCGCTGATGCTTGTCTACTACTATGCGTGTTTATATCAAGAGAGCTGGCTCTAAATTTTCCACATCACAGTGTAAGTAATGCGTGGTTGAACAGGTTGTCTGCAGTGAGCGATTAGCCGCCATTAGTTGTTCAATCTGCATGGCAGGAAAGCTAGCCTGACGATTTCGAAAAGGGTCTATCCTACGAGAAAACAACCCTGCATGGAACATTTCGGGGCAGTGGGCGACGCCGTTGTAGTATGGCTCCGCGGCTTGCAATCCCACAACGTTTCCGCGCCCAAAGACACCGCCTCTTTCTGTGTTTTAAAGGCGCCAGCATAAACGAGACTTACAAAATTTTTCGAAAATAAATTGTATTTTTCACTTGTGTCTCGACATCTCAAGTGCGCCATGCTGTTCCGTATTTTAGTAATATCCAGATTAGTGAACTTTAAGTGAACTATTTCCTCGAGTCCCTTGAAGTTCACTCAATTGAGAGTTGCCTGTACCGAGCAGATACCCCGCGCTGCTAGAAAAAAAAATCCGGAAATACCCTACAATTCGGGATAATTACCTTACGGTAGGCGATAGTGATTAACAGCAATGTATACACACAAGCCCACCAACGCACGTAATTGGATGTCGATAAGCCGTTGTCGATAGCAGGGCTCAAAAGAGTTCGTTACCCTGCCCGCTCCAACTTCACAAACTGTTCAACATTCACGGGATTCACTGACCGATAGCTTCGAGTTCCCCTGTGATCACGTGTGTCAGGTGTAACTCCGAAATGCTGAACGCAGAACCCCAGCGTATGCGCTTGAAACGCTACAGGGTGATGTAGTAGCAATTTTTGTAAAAGAATATTTGTGTTCTGCGCGTGGAATGACGCTGGCTACACTACCTTGTGTGCTTTAGCAGGAATACGGAGGGCGCCTGCAATACAGACCTATTCCATGTTTGTAAAGAGCGCTAGGTTCCGTCGGCATGAAGAGGCGCTTTTAGCGACGTCGTGGGGCGTAGGCTCTGCCCAGCCCGAAGCGTGGCCACTCATTCGAGATAAGGCACACGTTCACATTTTGAGTTAGACAAATATTTCAAAATAAAAGAACAAAAAATATACAAGATCTGTGCCGGCCCACTTTTAAGTATTTATCGGACAGCCTTAATAGCATATAGTTTACGAGGTTGAAAATGCGTCAATGTGGCGATGTTTTTATATGGGCAGAGCGTTAAACACCGCTGCATTGACACATTTTCGGCCTCGTAAACTATGCTACTGAGGCTGTCTGACTTAAAGTTGGCACAAAAATGCTAAATGTGTGCCTCATCTCTAAACTGCTCTTTATATAATATTGCTAACCACTTAAATTATCACAGCAATCGGCCATGATTATTGCTCTTGTTTCAATTGCTTTCTTTTTTTTAGACAGGCATTACATGTATAAACATTTCAAAGTACGTATATGACGCCCGCTTGCGGTTTTTCGCCGGTGGCGCTGGTACGCCGAGTTCAACGTTTGCCAGGTCGCGCCACTGCTTTGCCGTGTTTGAGCAGTTCAACGGGAAGCAACATTCGAGCGTGACCACTCCGCCGGAAAGGCGGCAGTCTGTCTTTATGGGAAAGTTTTGGACACTCAGTGCACCGTCCATCAGCGAACGCACAGCATATCCATTGCTGACGATAGGCAGTTGGCCCACAGTCACGGTAAGAAACTGTACCTTCTTCAAATCGTTCACGTGACTTTCCTTTTGGCGTGAAACAGTTGGTGCAAAAGTCATTCCAGTTACGCACACGTGTTTACGTAGGATTTTTGTAGTCGTGTGGCAGGCTCGTTTCTCGCAATTTATGAACGAATGATTTCAGGCGCTCTAGCTGTGGCAATGGAAAGGGGGAAAAAAGCCATTGGGAGCTTTAAAGTAACGTCGGCTCAATGCTGTTGTCGAGCCGCCGTGTGACATTTCCGCGCACGAGTTTCCGATGGAGGCGGAAATGTTGTAGGCCCTTGTACTCAGATTTGGGTGCACGTTAAAGAACCCCAGGTGGTCAAAATTTCCGGAGCCCTCCACTACGGCGTCTCTCATAATCAAATGGTGGTTTTGGGATGTTAAACCCCACAAATCAATCAATCATCCGCGCCCGAGAACGTCCAGCAAGATTCAACTCATCCGGACAGAATACATACACCGGAATCGACTTCTTTTCTGCGTGTTGGGGTCGCGTCAGACGATATCAGTGGAGTTGCCTCTACAAGCGGTGCGTCGAACTCACACGAAAGTACTATGCTTGGCTCTACAAGTGACGTGTTGCAAGACCCGTATGATAGTGCCTTGCCTGGGCGTATTGCTTTAGAGAAAGAA